CAGGTCGCTACTGCTGAACTGTTTCTGTGACGCATAACCGAGAACATTCAATCTTTATTTACACTGAAGATTTGAGCTTTTCTCTCATTCTGCAGGGAGACAGAGTGGTGCTATTCAGTCAGTTTACTATGATGTTGGACATTGTGGAAGTCCTCATGAAACATCTACAGCATCGCTACGTCAGACTGGATGGATCCACTCCTATCGCTGACAGGTCAGGGATATTTGTTTATGTTTTAATGCTGACAACTCATCGCCTGTGACCAGCATGATATGAAGCTGATGATGAAGCTTCTGAGAAATACACAATGGGAAAGGCTCTCTGTGCTGTGTGATAAGTTGTTGTTCTCCCCCATGAATGTTATCAGAAGAACATTCAGTGATGGACCTTGTGGTGCCGCAGTTTGGATGTATTTTCACACACCGACTCCGACCTTGATCTCTTAAATCCAAATACTATTCACATCGTACTACAACTATCCACTTATACCTCTTTAAAGCATCCTTTTTTTCACCTCAACAAATATATTGTCTAATCAAAATCCTGCAAAAAATGCCTGATGCAATTCTGCACATGGAAGCTTCACTGTCCTCCATTGATAAACAGGTAATATCTTAAGATATTAGAACATAATGGGAAAACTTAAATTCAGCACAGTAAAACTTTTGTTTTTATAAAGTCATAGTCGAGTGTTTATATTTTTTGTTGTTTTTGATTATTAGAATTTACGAGGCATGAAAATCCAAAATACCCGTTTAACGTTAAACACAGCCTGCTGCTTGAGAATCCTTTTGCACAAATTGGTGCATCGTTGCATCGAGGCGATCAGCCGGTGGACTGGCTGAAATGTTAAAGAAGCTGTGGATACTAATAATTGTCTTCTTTTTATAGTTTCATTATTTCTCATAGTACTAAAAGTTCAATATTGGCCTTTTCAGTTGGAAAAATATACTGTGGACCAAAGTCTGAAGTCTTTTAAAAATCAGTGTTAAAATTGATAATTAACCTCTAAGATAACTTCAAATTAACTTTCAAGTTTGTTGTTGTTGAAAGATTTATCTAATGAAGATGAACATGCAGGGTGTTAGCTCAGGATTTTGCTAAATAAATCCCTGCATTAAGGTGTTCTTCTAAACACTGCACTATCTTCTAACTGCTCATAATTTCTCTCCTGCAGGATTGTTTTGATTGACGAGTACAACACAGACCCAGACATATTCGTGTTCCTGTTATCGACACGTGCTGGAGGGCTCGGCATCAACCTCACCTCTGCCAACGTTGTCATCCTGCACGACATCGACTACAACCCCTACAACGACAAACAGGCAGAGGATAGATGTCACCGCGTGGGCCAGACCAGGTTAGAATGACACATTGTTTCTATCTGGTCGTACATCAACCCGGTTACTGAAGAAGAAGAATTTATTTATTGGGTGATTTACATCTTTGTGACTGGCAGGACTGTACAGGTGATAAAGCTGATCAGTAAGGACAGCATAGAGGACTGCATCCTGCAGCTCGGTCAGAAGAAGCTAAAGCTGGAACAGGACATGACTGCTGCTGACCAAGGTAAGGGACTCTGTGCAAATAGATGACGTAATCGCTCTGCTTCTGCAATACTTCGGTGCAACAGTTAAGGAGAATGCACTTAACTTGAAAATGCATTTTAGAATAAGCAAGACTGTAATTTGTGATAACACCAGAGGCTTTGACACAACATTTTACAGTTTTTCTTGAGATTACTACAATATTTTCACCATTATGGTGTGAAGTAGATATTTGATAAAGGAGATATATATATTTATTAGGTACGCTGTTAATTTGTGGGTTGCTGAATTGCTTATGAATTGTTCTATATAGATGATGAAGGAAGCATTCCTGAAGATATGGCCTCTTTACTCAAAGCCTCTCTGGGACTGTGAAGAACATCAGCCTTGAAACTCGACTGAACTGATGAAGACTTGTGACTGTATGCAGGCTGCTGCCAACAATATTCTGCCTTGAAACAAGCTGTAGCACGGTAACTGTGCCTAAATCACAAATTTTACCTGCTCTGTTTCCCCTCCAACATATGAACTGCCTTTTTGTTTCCAGACTCTGTACAGGTTTTGCTGGGTCAGCCAGCTGTAGAAGTCACACAAAGATGTATATCGTTGTGACTTCTTCACACAAAGATATACCTTTTTGTACATCTGTGTGTAGAAGTCACACAAGGGTTCAGTATTACAAGGGAAGCAAAAATGAATCACTTCATTTCACATGTCATGCTCATAATTATTCATATATTTTGGTTTGAGTTTCTGTTTAAAGTACACTTGCCAAACATTTTCAAATAGAATAATTTTGAAAGTATGCTGCATGTGAAAAGTACCTTCAGGTAAGAGACTCCAATACTTTCACAAGGCAGCTGTTCGTGTACCGTATTCGGGGCCAATGCATTGTAAATGTACAGGTGTTACTGTAAAAGTTCTTTCCTAAGTCCTTTGTATGTTTTAAGGTTCATGTTTGAACTTACAATAAATATTGGAATAAATATCAGTATTTTGGAGTCATTAAAATTTAGTTGAAGGAATGTTTTCTTTTCCACCTTATTGTTAAAATTGTGATGCTTTGTCTAAATTCAAATCAAGTTGGCTTTCTACAACATAACCAACTCTCCCAGAATAAATATGGATATGTAGACATTACACTTCAGACGGGACAATAATGGCTAGATCTTTGTTTTTCACATTTGGAACGTTGACCTGAAGAAACTGACTGATTACATACAAGTGTATTTACCATCTTTATCAACTCCACTGCTTGAGAACAAAGGTAACTATGTCGTTTGTTTTTACCCAGTGTTTGCTCTGCTTTAAAATCACGTAGAGAACCTTAGTTGTGCATTTCACTCATCTGGAGTTTTCGTTTTCTGTTGCAGGATGAGAATGGAAAGACTTGGAGGTCCTGCAACGGTGATGTCTTGATTAAAAATGGTGACTGAAATGCCTTTTCTAATTTCAAAGGAACCCTGAACATGATTTGGTGACGGAATGCTTGGTAATACTGCAGCTGTGATGTAGCTCTGCTCTGTATGTGTGGATTTCTTGTAGACATTCGTACGTATCTCCAATTCGAGATTGGTAAAAGTTTTTACAAAAGGAAATAAAAGATAAAATGAACATATCAAGACAAAGAATATCCATGTAAGAAATACATTTAACTTGCTAAACCTCACTATGTAAAAGAGGCTTAAGTTGAAGAGATCCAACTGCACCTGTACTGCTGCACCTTAGTTACAAGTTGTTGCAGTAACATTTAGTAAGAAACCTAAATACAACTACAAATAAGCAAAACACAAACAGCTGTGAATCATAATTTATATTACTGCCTTTGCTCATTAAAAATCAAAAGTACTGCATGTTTTTAGAATATTATCTATCCATTATTTAGCATTGTGTACTTTGTATGGTCCTTAATGTTTTTGTCAATTTTATCTTCTAATTTAACCCTTCCACTATAAAATAAAGGGGTTGTGAAACGGCTGCATACTAGATTTTCTATTTTATTTGGAAAATAACAGATTTTTCTTCTACCTCACAATTATAAACTACTTTGTGTTGGTCTGTGGCATGAAATCACAAGAAAATAATTTTGTTTGTGGATGCACATGACAAAATGTGAAAAGGTTGAGCAGAATTAGTAGTTTTGAAAAGAATTGTTCAAAACTGTCTAGCATTCATGAGGCCCTTTCATTCTCAAAGTTATGAGACTAAAAATATGTTTTTAAAGAAACCCATGTTCTTAGGTATCTGTTGGGTAGCCGTGAGTCTAAAAAGGGTTTTTACAACATTGCTACAAGGAGAGGTCTTGACCAGGGGATTATTTATCTGTCTGCTACTGGCAGTAAGGAATGAAGTTTTTAAAAGTGGAACTGCTTACCGGCTGGTGTCAGTTGACCCTCTCATAATGAACAAAGAGTTTGATATATGATCTCAAAAAAGAGGAATGAAGATGACTACAGAGAAATGGAATTCTAGTCATTTCTATTTCTGCCACAGGGTGGCCACATTTGCTAAGTTTTCAGTTGTGCTGCTCAAATGTCTACCTGTAGATCAAGTCAGTATAATTTTATGTAATTTAATATATAATGGGCAAAAATATTTAGTGTTTTCTTTAATTAATTTCTACATTTTATAATTGATTTCCCATCTAGAACTATGCAAGGCAGCATCTGAAGGAGGCTGCATGATTAACATATAGTCCAATGTTAAGAAAAAAGGCCCCAATTAAAGATGGTCACTAAATGGAGGAATATAATATTTAGACAAGAGTAGAATGAGTGGGGAAAAATTTTACAAATAATTGTGCAATAAAGGATTCTGACACTTGATAAATTGCTTCTGTGTATTTTAACAAGAATTTACTTGCAACTTAAAACAATAAATGCTTTAGGTGATCAGAAATGGTAAAAGAAAACCCTGAAGTCTCTTACTATGTGTGTCCATGCAAATTACTACCTATAGAATACATTTAGAAGTACTCTGAAAACTACGCAGTGAAATGTTAAATATTTAACACCTTATTTACTCAGCATGTGGCGAATATCGGCCACATCTAAACCCTGTCAAATGTGTGTCGCAGCTAATGGCAAAGATAAAATGGAGAACTCCTTTGTGCAGCTGACAGCTTAAAGAGTGAGTTCCTCTCTCAGTATAGACGATGGATAGCTCTGCATTGTCACTGTAAAGAACGTCCTTATCCCAGACTTCAAGCATCAACTCATGGCCCAGCTTGATGAGCCAAAATAATGTGATATTCCAACTGGGTCATTGTTGTCCATCACAGTCTTAGTCTCCTCTTACACACGTGCTCTGCTCAAAAAAACAAAACCAACGACTCAGGGACTCCTCTTTGCATTTTGCAGAATATTTGATTCTGTTGCCAACCTAAAAAAAAAACAATCAAATATTTTTTGTATATTACAATAAAAAGAATTCCATCTTTTTTTGTTGAAAAGTTTATTTTTGTATGAATATGCTGTAGAATACATTGCATAAAATTAATTTTTATAAAACAGGAAATCAATTCTTATGATATGCCACAAAAGTACTTAGATCCCTTTTTCACCTATAATAAAAATACACTTAGGTAATTTATGTTTTACCTAAATGTTAACATATATGTTCATAATGAGTAAAGCAGGATATACAAAGGTAATATATAAGCAATACTACACATTAAATGAGTTATGTATTTGTGCAGCTTGGAGCTGAGGGTCACCATAAAGTTTGAAAATGAGCTTTGGTGTCTAAAGAAAATTATTTTGTTTTTAAAGGCTGATTTGTCATAAAATAACATGTTCCTCAAAAAACACCATCATCATATGTTGCTGAATATGTATTACACACATACCTATACAAAACATTAATGTATTTACTCTGGTGGAAAAAGCTACATTTCTAACATCCTTTTTATATGTGAAAACACAATGCTCTCTTTTTGTTGCATAACTTTAAGTTTCATCTTCTTGTGTCTCCCTCCCAACCTGCTCACGTATTTCCACATAACCGCTGGACCTCAATCCAGAGTACCTCCTCCTTTTCTTAACCAAGATCACTACCACTATCACCACCATTCCTATCAAACCTATTGCTCCAATTGCCACGCCTGCTATTTTTTCCTTTGACATCTGATTGAGTTCTGGGTTAAACCTTTGCTGGTTCAACCCAGAACTTTGAAGCTGGTGCATTTCCTCTGGATTCACAAGTTTCCACCCTTTACTGGGCCCCATCCTGACCCAGCTCTTATCTCCTTCAGTCATCACCATCATTGTGTTGGTGGTCTGCATTTTTACGAGAGGACGTTTGGTAAATGGAGGTAGACGGATTGGGTTCAGCTCACCCCCTGTAAACAGTCCAGACTGGACGCAGTAAAGAATTTCACAGCCATCGCTAACCGTGGCGAGGTGCTGGCTGAATTTGGGAGGGCATCTACTTTGGTTTTTAGCCAGTGGGTTACCAGACTCGCAGCTGAAGAGACCTCCAAATGGGACGGAGTATCTGATGCCGGTCTCATAGTCGTCACTCATGCAGATCATTTGGCCATCTGATAGAAACTTCACTGGAATGAAGTTTGTAGGGCAGCTTTTGGACTTGGTGATGGGGTTCTGGAAAGAGGGGCCATAGATTCCTCCAAACAGATACCCTGAGTAATCTGGAGCTTTTCCATTCACAGAGCACCAGTAGGTATCTATACGAGCAGAGCGAACACGATATACATCACTGCAAACAGTCTTATCACAACTAAAAATGAAACATGATTCCTTTTCTGTATGGCATTCATATGAATTGTAACCCTGCTGTCTCACTTCAGATCGCAGTAAAGTTGGAGTGTAAGGTGGGCGACAGGAGAAGTCACCTGTCTGTATGTTCTTTTGGGCCAGTGTATCACAGAGTGGATAAGAATCATAGGTGAGTTTAGTACATACTTGGTAAACTCCTCCAAAACTAAGGTTGGTGGCTGGGCCCTCACAAGAGTTGTCATCAACATTGGCCTGAAAGTTGAAGTTCTTGGAAGTAATGTCCACACAACCAGGGCGCGTGTTGACCTTGTAATACAGCTCAATAGCCTTATTCACCCGACGAGCCACTTTGCCGACTGTAGGTTCTGGCAGATCAGGGAAAGTGTTTGTGTTTATGAAATAGTGGAGGGGAGATCCAAATCTGTCAATGGCAACCAGATTATTCCTGGTACTTTCTTGCCACTTCTGCAAAGTGATTCCAGGATAAAAAGGTATGCCACCATGGCTTTGGATGAGAGAGTACTGAATGTTAGACTGATATTTTTGAAGTAATGAGCTTTGTTGGCTAAATTGACTACTGATATCAAATTTGAGTTTGTCAAAAAAGTTTAACCCGGCCTGAGTTTTAATAGTGGAGCTATCTGACTCATTATTGGACATAAAATGGAGATAGTCTTCCTGTACCAAAGAAGCTCCTGCATCTACACTGGTGATAACATGGGTTCCATAGTCCAGCACCATCTTCTCTGAGAGATAATCTGCATTCCTCGTCTGATTATTTTCAATTGCATCTGCAATTTCCTTGACTTGCTGAACAAAACGGAGATCCAGTGTGAAGTCCGGGTAAGCTTTCACTGTGTAGACCAAATCACGAACCTTTTAAAAGGCAAGAAAAAATATAATTAGGATATTTCAAGTTATTTTCAGTTTTGCAAAGATGGCATTTAATTTTTTGTTTGTGTAAATTAACCAGTTTTAAAACTCAAATAATTTAGGAATCCACATATAAAACCACCATAAAATGCATTGTGCAGCATTTTACAAAATCACTTTTAATCAGTTGAATTTTAATTATTTCCGAAAGAAGTACAAGTTTTTTCCATCATAATCCCTAGTGATGGGCTTTACAAGATATTGGTATTCATTTTCTAGTGATAGAAAAATATTTTGACATGATTGCATCACATCTGAATGACATAAACCAAATGCCTCACACTTTCCGCTGGTACATTTCTATTACATTTTTCCTTAAAGCTGAGGTAAATAACTTATTATT